ATGAACACAGACCTAGCAAGACCCTAACTTGAACACAGATCCTATTAAAGCACACTAGCATTGGGGATTCTAGCATGAACACAAATCCTAGCATGAACACAGATCCTAGGAAAGCACTAGCAAAAGAACATTATCCTAGAACACACATTGTAGCAAACAAGAACAGGTCGGTCGGATTCGATGTGATTGGGATCGCATCGAATTGGATCTACTCAAATCCTATCGAATCCACTAAGTACTAGCACATGCCTAAGAAAAAAAACCTAATCTACATCTACGAGCAAGCATTGGGGATTCTTTGACTCACCGGAGCTTGTGCAGTCGCAGCGAACTGAGGCTGCGGTGAAAACCCCGACGGGAAGGAGAGAGGTGGCGGAGCAGAGGAGGAGCCGGCCCTGGCGACGGCCTGCGGCATCGGCCCCGTGCTCATGGCCACGCCGGAGGTCGAGGAGGATGGCGCGCCGACAGGAGAAAACCCTTGGACAGGGGTCAAGAAAAAACCCCTGCCCAATGGGGTCCCAAGAAGCGGCGGCTCCGTGGACGGCGAGCCCAGGACCACGAGGTCCGGAATCGGCGGCGGAGCAGGAACGGCCGGCACCACATTGGCCGGCACTTATGGTGGCTGGCAACAGATGGGGGACGACGCTCGCAGCGCCGACGCTAGGTCCCCGACCGAGTTCTGGAGCCCGGCCACCCAATGCTCCTGGATGCTGGCGATGCGCAGTCGTCGTGGGTCAGAGGGCGGCGCAGCGGTGGGCGAGGCAGAGCCATCGAAGGAGAGGAGAGGGAGGGGCGGTGAGGCAGAGAGGAGCGGTGGGAACAATGCGGGCGGGGTGATGACAGAGAGTGGGGGGGGGGTTATGAGACGCCCCCTTCGTCTCCCTCGCTGCCCGAGGTGTGCAAGCCCCTCGCACGCGTGGCCGCGCCGAGCAAGGCTCGCGAGAAACTGCCGATTCGGTAGTTTCCGCCGGGTCAGACTCAGGCCTGCTTTAAGGTTCGTACGGGCTACGAATCGCATGCAGCCCAGCCAACCAAACAGACCACGCACATCCGATGCGGGTCTGGTTGGGCTGCATGCGGGCAACCAAACAATAACGCTATTTGGCTACAGCCGCATGGGATTTCCTTTTCACAAAGAGTTCTTTTGCCACTGACTAGCAGAATTAAGAGGAAGGAATGGGAGCCATTGGATTGGAATGGATGACTGATCTAAATACCTAAAACACCGGTACAGTATGAACGTAACAGCAGAGTTGCCAAACTCACACAACTTAACTGAAGGAAAAATCGACTGATGACACAAAGCTCCTAATATACAGTAGGAAACGTTCCAACTCTCATTAGGAAGTTTCTAAATTAGAGTTGAACTCATGAGCAGCAATCCCAGCGGTACGCGACTGCCCTGGTGGTAGTGAAATGATCTTCTTGGAGGGAACTCGGGTTGACCTGCTTTGGGTGACTCTGCTTTTACAGGGAGCTGAGTGGCTTCCTCGGAAATGATAAAGAACCATATGACACCGCATGCTTTTACCATGCTGGAAATAATTCTGAGCAGCTGCTAGAGATGAAACTGCGAAATTTCACATACATTTGCTTTATGTGAGCAAACAAGAGTTTCTTTACAAAATACTCCCACTGTCCGGAAATACTTGTCATCAATGGATGAAAAAAGATGTATTCAAAATGGATGAAAAGAGGCTTAATGGCTGCAACACTTTATGTGAGTACTTGTCTCTTCCTGCTCGTGGACGATTTATAACAACATAAGAAACTTATAGATTCAATATTAATTTTAGATTTTATTTTTTTTCTGCAAGAAGACTGTGCTAACGACCAGTCGACTGGTCGTTAGCGACAGATCCGCACGATTAGTTCGCTATCTTCCCACGCTCCCTTTCCACTGATTTTTTTCCTTCTTTCAAAAACCGTGATAAATCGCTAATGGTTTTTTTTGGTTTTTCGCCGCATAATATGAAAATAAAATAAAAGTGCTTGAAAGAGGATTCGAACCTAGGTCTATGCAATACCTATTGAGCCTAATAACCAACTAAGCCACCTTTTGTTGTTGTCTATTGTAGGTAAACAATGTTATTTGAACCTTTCTTATTTCTGCCATAGCAGAAAATAAATAAAGTTTGGCTTGGTAACTTTGGCATGATCAGCATGATAATTAGGGTATGAGCAACATGATAACTATACCATGATAAGGTTGATAACTACAGTACGAGAAGGTTAAGGCATGAGGAAGTATGGTAATTTAACACATAAATTACCGATGAAAATGTTTAAAAAAAATTTTCCCTTGGATGAAAGATACCATGGTGTTTAAAACGTAAGATATTAGTTATCAAATCTGTGATGTATACATTATCATGTTTTTTACATAGAAATTACCGGGTGTATATTTTTCAACAATAAAAATTCAGGTCAAAAATTATAATGGCGTTTGTATATGAGTTATCAGCTTAGTATGTGTCTATTAACAAGCTATTTACATTTAAATTACCGGGATTGCCCCCCCCCCCCTCGCCACAGACGCCAAATTATCAAGTCTGCGATGTGTGAGTTATCATGTTATTTGCAGAAAAGTTATCGTGGTATGGTTCAACAACTCCTCCCACCCTACCCCCGCCGATAAAGTTATCAGGATTGGGTACATAATTTATCATTTCTACGATGTGTGACTTATTATGTTATTTGCATAGAAGTTATCGTGGTATGTTTCAGTGACTCCCCTCCCCCAACCCCAACCCCACCAACAAAGTTACCAGGACTGGGTACATAATTTAATGTCTATGATGTGTGAGTTATCATATTATTTGCATAGAAGTTATCGTGGTATGTTCAACGACTCCCCCACTTCGGCCCCTCCGACAAAGTTACCAGGACTGGTACATAATTTATCATGTTTACGATGTGTGAGTTATCATGTTATTTGCATAGAAGTTACCGTCGTATGTTTCAACGACACCCCCACCCCGACCCCTCCGACAAAGTTATCAGGTCTACCATGTATGAGTTATCATGTTATTTGCACAGAAGTTACCGTGGCATGTTTCAGCGACTTGCCCCACCCCCATCCTCGCCGACCAAGTTATCAGGACCGGGGTACATAAGTTATCAGGTCTGCCATGTTTGAGTTATCATGTTATTTGCACAGAAGTGACCATGGCATGTTTCAGCGACTTGCCCCACCCCCACCCTCGCCGAC